GCTCCAAATAGCCCCAAACGCCGCTTCCCCGGCACTGCGGCCTTCCAACACTTCCTTCTGAATCACGCGGTCTCATGACCAAACTGACAAGTCAACAAACCTGCAGCTGCCTGTCCCAGCTCTGGGACTGTGAGGTCCAAGGGGGCAGAAATAGAAGCGGGGGGAATGGACTGTAATTGCAAATGAAGACAGAGAGCACCTCTGCTGCCGGGTGCAGGGCGGGCAGTGCTGGCTCTGCCCCAGAAAAGGCGGAGCTCGAGTTCTGCCTTCGCACACAGCGGAGTGTGGGCTCCATAATTACCCGGCAGGGCAGCGCAGTTTGGAGTGGAAAGTCTCAATTGCTCCTGAGCTAATTGAAGGCCAGGGGAGGAAATGTCTGCCCTGAAGCAACCAACACAGTGCAGAACTGCATGATAATCTCTGTTACTTATTTTGAAACCTACTTGGCAGAAGCTGGTCTGGTAAATGAAAGAAAAAAAAAAAAATTCGCCTTCACGTTAACCTCTCAAGTCACCTCCCAGGGAAAACAAACATCAAGAGGTCTATTCTCAGCTTGGTCTGGCCCATCAGTTTCATAATGAAGCAAGCCTGTCCTCAAGATGGGCTTCGCATCTCATCCGTACGCAGTTTCGCGGCTGTACTAGGATTTAGGGTATCTTCTCATTCTCCCTCTCCCGGCCTGAGGTCAGTGCCAGCCCCTTGGCACCGGACAGCAGCTCCCACAGATGGAACAGAAGCTCCTGGGAGAAGGCAGAGAGGAAGAACGAATCCTACCAGCACCCCCTGCCTTGGGCCAGCCCTGGGCTCCCCTCAGCTCATTTCCAGAGCCTCCCAGGATGCGTACCTCAGAATGCGCTCAGACTTGAGGTGCCACAATCAAACTACATCTCAGTTTTCCTACAAGGTTTAAAGTGCAACACTGGAAAACAGGTCCACGTTACTGGACTGCCTCTGAAATGTGTGTCTTCTTGATTCTAAACCAAGGGCAGAATGATAAAGGCAGGCCCATTCCACTTCTTAGCAGGTAAGCTAAAATCTTAGTAAATATCTGCACACCCAGAGAACGTACCACCATTGGATTACTATTCCCCGTCCTCAAGGACTGCATGGTAGCACATGCCTGTAATCCCAGGTACTCAGGACGCTGAAGCAGGAGGACTGTAAGTTCTAGGCCACCTTGGGCAACTGAGAAAGACCTTGTTTCGAAATAAAATAAACAGAGCTGGAGATGTAGCTCAGTGCTTAGTTGGCAGTGAATAGGGGCTAAGTACTAAGGACTAAGGACTGTGTGAGGCCCTGAATGCAATCTTTAGTACTAGAAGAAAGAAAAAGGAATAACTCAAGAAAGGTTGAATTCATTGACCAGTCCATCTATCCATACCTATTCATCCTTCCATCCATCTGCCCACTCATTCATCTACCCATCCACCCACCCATCCTTCCATCCATCCATCCATGCAACCACCCATTCATGCATCCATCCACCCATAAGCATCCACCCATCCATTCTTATGCCATTCACCCATCCACCCATTCAACAACCCATCCACGCATACAATCCACCCATCCTTCCATCCATCCATCCATCCATGCAACCACCCATCCATGCGTCCATCCATCCATCTATGCATCCACCCATCCATTCTTATGCCATTCACCCATCCACCCATTCAACAACCCATTCATGCATACAATCCACCCATCCACCCACCCACTCATCCATCCACTCATCCACCCACTCACCCACTCATCCATCCATCCATCCACCTATCTACCCATTCATCCATCCACCCATCTATGTACCCATTATCCATTCAAACATCCACCCATTCACCCACCCATCCATGCATGCATCCATCCATCCACCCACCCACTCATCTATCCATCCATCCATCCATCCATCCATCCACATACCCAGCCATTCATTTGTCCACCCATCTACGCCGCCAGCTATCCACCTGAGGACCACTCATCTATGTGTTTACTTGTCCATCTATTCACCAACCAGTAGTATACCCATCCAACCAACCATTTATTTAACTTAGTTCTTCTGTGCAGGAACTATGCTAGATACAAAGCTACTCAAATCCTGGTCTTCCAGGAGCTCCCAGAGATAAAGAGCACAGCAAATGTGTCCATGATGTGACTATAAGAGTCATCCTCCTCCTCATGCCATGGCAGTGTGCAGAGCATCCCACTGTTCCCAGTGTAGCCCACACCCTCTTGGAAGGTAAACTCTTAAAGCGGGTGTGTGTGTGTGTGTGTGCGTGCGCACATGTGCATGCACATGTATGTAGGTAAAACAAGATCACGAATGCAAATTGTCTGGTGTCCTTAAAGGAAAAGTCAGGACACACACACATATCCAGAGGGACAACCAAACACATGAGGAGACAGGGAGAAGTCAGCACCCACAGCCAAGCAGAGAGGCATCAGGAGGAACAACCCTGTGTACATCTTGAACCCTGACCTCCAGCCTCCAGGGCTGCCCGGGGTGCAGTTACAGCTGCCCTAAGAGCCCCAACACCAGATGCCAGGACCCCCCGTCAGCAGGAGGAGGCATCTGCAAAGACACCCTGAGCTTCAGGGTCAGGTGAAGAACCTCGGAAAGCTGTCAGTGCTGCTGGGAAAAGCCCTTTGAACAGGTAAGATGGGAACAGGTAAAGCAGGAGCTCAGGGTGGGACTCGCTATAGGTGAGCAAGTATCACTGGATCCACTCCCTGAGGTTCAGGCTTATTGTACCCCAATTACCACTTGTTTCTCTGTAACTCAACCAGAGGTCACAGCACCTTCTTTTCCAACTTCTGCTGGGTGCACCATGTAACTTTTTTTTTTTTCAGTACTGGAGCTCAAGCTGAGGGGCTTACACACGTGAGGCAAGCACGGTACCACTGAGCTACATACTTGGCCCTTTTCATTTTTACACAAGGTCTCCCTGAGTTGCCCATGCTAATCTCCAAATCTGTGATCCTCCTGCCTCAGCCTCCTACACCCAGCCTAACTTTTTGAGAGTTATAATTCTGTGTCATCCCTTCAGGTATAAATATCTGCATCATTCTCTCCCAACCTTGAACCTCAAGAAAACGTTACCTCCACTTGACTTGGATGAAAACCAGCAAACACAGTAATTCTGATCTCACCATTCTCCTGTTATTCCAATGGAATGCAACCAAAAAAATTTATTACCCCACATCAGTCACCAGATTAGTAATCTACTCATTATGCAGTCATGTGTACTTTAAACTTGTGTGCAGCCCTGGGTATCTTTCATTCTCTGTATCACACACTGTTTTTTGGTGAACAAAGAACCATCTTTTGCCCGCCTTTTCATTTCTATGAGTCTCACACTTCGTCGTTGAAACATAATCTTTCTTGCTGATCCCTCGGAAAATGCAACCGTCCCCGGGATAAGTTGAAAAGGACTTTTTAACAGTTGTATTGCAGAACTTCACTGAGCTTTGCCACGCTGAACACACACACACACAATTCTGAAAATTGCTGGCTTTGTACCTCAAATGCAGAAAGCTTCTGGAACTGATGTCTTCACAGTAGAGGTACAGTTTGCTGGGGGACACGGCCATGCTAAATAAAGTACATGGTCCCTCCTCCTGTCCTCTGGACCCCTTCAGTATGGACAGTGTCCTACACACACACACACACACACACACACACACACACACACACACGTTCATTCTTCCTTTCACAGTGACATTCTTATGCAGAATGGAGGAACTAACTGTCAGCCCCAGCATGCGCCCTCTGCACGTGTACCCACTGATGGTGCAGGGCGGTGTGCACAGCCTACCTCGTGGCCCAGGCTACCACGCCCCAGAACTGCAGCGGCGCCTGGATGCCGGCTTGGCAAACAGACCACAGCTGGCACTTGGCACATGACTTAGTGCAAGCCCACAGGGACAGAGCTGGAATTGTGCCCCGCAGGCACTGTGGAGTTTTGCCGGGGGATTATTCACCAGCCTTTCCTACCCTTGGGCTTGTTGCAGCTACACAGCAAGTTGAGCAACTGCAGGACCTTCTACACAGGCGCACACTGGGCACCAAACCTATCGCCTCAGGATCCCATAAACAGGTCTACTTTCCCGAAAGGCCAGTAGCATTCAGTTTAAACCCAAACGGAAGAAAACCCCATTCCGGAAGGCTCTTGAAAGTAAACACCTAGCTTGGTGATTTCTGCAGTGGACCCTTGAGCTCCGAGGTCAGTGTTTGATTTGGACCCCACACCAACTGCAGCAGGGTCTGGAGGCAGCAGCAGAGAAGAATTCCTCACCCAAGACTCTGGCATACACACACTTCCTTCTGTCAGTCCCCTGCACTCGAAAAACAAGATCACACCACACCCTCTTCAGAGATGCATGCTTATCCCGACCTACACAGGGTGGGAACAGCCAGGGAACACCCTGTGTTTTGCCTAAATCCCACCCTCGCAGCAGAACTGTGACGTGTGGGATGCTTCAGGATTACAGCAGGCATGCTGTGCTGTGATACCCGGCTGACACCGCCCGCACTTCCTGCTTCTCTCTAGGGAGTCAACTGACTCCACTTCTATTTTAAAGTTTAAATGAACTCAGTACATAAGTCCAAATTAGGAAGGTTGGCCCTGTCCCCTCCAGAGTAACGATCCCGCATCCCAATTCCAAATCGGAAATACTCAAGCTTCACTCCCATCAGGACAAACTCAAGCATGTAAAGCCGGACTCTCCGTTTCCTTCGCAGAAAGTGTCTCTCGCTGCAGAGAAGACACAGCAGCCACTTAAAGAACCCTAACTGTGACAGCGATGATTCTCTGGACAGGACAACCAGGCACAGGGTCTCTGCTCAGAAGTGCAGGGTACGACAGTGCCTGAAATCATGCCCGGTCACTAGCTACTTGGGGTTTGGGAAAACCAAGACATCTGAGCACGGTAAGCCAGCACTCACTCCCCGCCCCCATAGAGCAGCCCAAGACACCTCTACAGTGACCCCAGATCCAAATGTCACCTACCTCGGAGTGGAACGTGCCTCCCGAGCACGGACTGCAGAGGGAGGAGCCTCTCTGTGCCCACCAGGGTCCCCTGACTGCCTTCGAGGTTCGACAGGCAATTCCTGCAAAGGACAGCAGCATGAGACACCAAACCCTCAGGCTGCCTTCCTGAGACATATGTTATTATGAAAGCCCTCAATTTGTGGGTTCGCCTGTGCGCCCGCGCCTCAACGCCAGTGACGTGTCCCGCCCGTTGCACTGTGTGCAGGCCCAGCCCCTTTGGCTCCACCACCCCTCTCATGCAGACACACGATCCAGGACCCCAAAGACACTTCTCCTCCAGGCAGGAACCAGCTCCTGCCTACAGCCTGCAAGCCCACATGACACAACCAGGCAAAAGAAATCAAAGAAAGGACAGCTGGTCACAAGCCACTGCGGGGGACCTCCTACCCCAGGCCTTGTCGGAGGCTGGAAATCCGCACTCTCAAGCAAGCAAGCAGAGAGCCCTCACAGGTCACAGGGAAGGGGCCATAAGTAAGAGAGAGCAATGGCAGAAACAGCTCACACAGGGTCTGCAGCACCAGAGGTCATTAGCCAAATGGGCAGCTGTCTTTCCCTGCACAGGGTGGACATACTAAAGCCACTACTAGCCAGGCACTGTGGAACATGCCTGCAATCCCAGCACTCGTGAAGCTGAGGCAGGAGAATCACAGGTTGCAGCCAGCCTGGGGTACACAGTGAGTTCAAGTCTTGCCTGAAGGATGTTAAACAAAGCCTATCTCGAAAAACCACCACTGAAAAAAAGAGAAAGAAAAACCACCACCACCAAAAGGGGAGGCATCTATTGGTTCTTTTATCAGAAACCGAGTGACTGTATCTACTGGCTCTTTTATTAGAAATTGAATCTACGACTGTAGCAGGATTTCTTTCTTTTTCTTATAGAAATTTACACATGCAGATGAAACAGGCAGAGGGACAGGAAAAGGGAAGAAAAAGAGAGAAGGGAAAAGGGGGTGAGAGCAAGAGAAAGAGAGACCACAGAGTTTAAAGTAAGGAAAAGAGTATGCATGTTCTACAACACTTTAACTGTCACCATCAAAACTGTCACCTTAAAATAGTGCAACAGTGTAATGCATGGTTGTTTTTTTTTTTTTTTTTTTTGAACAGGGTGTTTTGCGGGGGAGTTTGGGGGGGCTTTTTTTTTTTTTTTTTTTTTTTTTGAGACAGGGTCTTGCTGTGTAGTTCAGGCTGGCTATATTTTTTTGTTTGTTTGTTTTTGTTTTTGTTTTGTTTTGTTCTGTCTGTTTGAGATAGAGTCTCACTATGCAGTTCAGGCTGACCTTGAGCTCACTCTGTAGCCCAGGCTGGCCCTGAACTTGCAACGACCCTCCTGCCTTAGCCTCCTGAGTGCTGGGATTACAGGCGTGCACCATCATGCCTGGCCAGGCTGGCTTTAAACTCACTATGTAGCCCAGGCTGGCCTTCAACTCATGGCAATCCTCCTGCCTCAGCCTCCCAAGTGCTGGGATGACAGGTGGGCGCCACCACACCAGACTTAGTTTAATGCATCTTAAAAGATAATTTGTTCCAGGGCAATCCTGAAAAATACTTGCATATTAAAAAAGAAAAATGAGGGGCTGGGGATTTAGCTCAGCGGCAAAGCGCCTTCCTGGCAAGCGCAAGGTCGTGAGTTCGGTTCCCGGTATCGGAGAAAAACCAAAAAAAAAAAATAATAATAATAATAAAAAAAAAGAAAAAGAAAAAAGAAAAATGAACACTATAGACATTAGCTGACGTCAATATTTGAAAAGTAGCTAGGCTAGTGACGTAACTTAGTAATACAACACTTGCCTAGCTCGAATGAAGCCCAGGATCTCACCTGCAGCAGCACCCAAAAAAAAGGTCTGAGTGCCATCTGTATTCCAGAGAACCAGGTGTGGTTATGGTCCAAGCATCTGCAATCCCAGCTACTCAGAAAGCTGAGGCACAAGGACTGCAAGTTCTGGGCCAGCCTGGAAAATTTAGTGAGACCCTGTCTCAAGACAAAATAAGTACAAGGGAGGTCCTGTGTTCAATCCTTAGTACCTCAAAAAAAAAAAGGAGCTATAGCATGTTAAGTCTTGAAACACCCACTTTTACTTCAGAAGAGTTAGTCACCATGCCTTTGGTTGGCATACAGGCAGGCGCAAGCTAGCTATAAGACAACAAATGAAGTAAGAGATGAAGACAGACAGGCTAAGAAGGGAAGGAGTGGGTCTGCAGGAATAAGGCTCTGAAAATCACCATGGAAGCAGGTTCCACCCCCAAGCACCTGACATGCAAAGATGAGACATGCTGGTGATGCAGGTACTCAGACTGCTGGGCTCCTGCAGCACCATCGGGCCACCATATTCTGGGTGTGTGTGCACGTGGCTAAAGGCAGCGAGGGCAGGCGACACCCTGGCTCCTGGTGCCACGCTTACCTGCATGTAGTGCTCTGTGGATGGGGACGACCGGGACCGTTCATGAACATACTGCGGTCTCTGGTGTTGGTGGTCCAGACCTGCATCCAGAATGTCGTCCGCTGAGCGACACCGTCCGGAGCTCCTGGCTTCCAAAGGCTTCCTCTGTTCCTTCCATGAAGCCTGATACTCTGCAAAGGTCCCAAGTCTCTCTGGTGGGTCCATCTTCCCCGGGTTTCCCACTCTGCTACAACCGTTGAGAATTTCTCCAAAGGAGGTGGCTCGTGACCTCTTCTGCAGCCAGGGCTCCGTGCCTTCGCATCCATGACCCGCGGTCCTTGGCCTCTCCACCTTCTCTCTCGGGAGTCCGTGCACAGCTTGTCTCTGGCCTGGCCTTTGTGGAACAGGTTTGCTAGTTTCTTCAAAAAACTTCCACCTGTCGGCAAATGTGCCCACGGAGTCCTCGGGGGTCCTGGGGTGCTGCTGTGAACCACAGCTCCCTGAGAGCCCCACCTCATTCATTTTCTCCGGTTCAGAGTACGACTTCAGCTTCTGCTCCGCCGTGAACCTTTTCCGGCCTCCGACGCGGGGCACATGGGGCGGTCCACCTCCAGATGAGGCTGGCTTGTCCACGCCTGCCTCCCAGAAGCGAGACACGGAGTCCGGCTCCCCAGGGAACGAGGAGGCGGCACCGTGCTCCCCGGTCCTGCGTTCTGGGGGCCCGGGGTACTGGTCCGCCGGGTTGGGGTCCAAGTCTCGGCGCTTGAAGGACGTGGCTCTCAGGACCCGAGCCTGGGCCTCCTTCAGATGGTCTTTGTAGGTGCTGGAGAAGGAGCCTTCTGAGGTGGCACCAGGCTGGGCCCGCCAGCTGCCAGCCTCACCATCCGCCGCGCTGCCTGCGGCCAGGGTCACCGTGCTCTTGCTTTTCCGCAGCCTGGCCCTGCGCGTCTGGATCTCCTTTCTCAGCGTGGTAGCAAATCGGTCACTTCTCCGTGCCGGTCGACCCACCTGCGCGTCAAACGGAAGCGGCCTCTCTGTAGCATCCGTCTGGCCCTCCTGGGTCAGGGAGTGCAACACGGGGGTCCGCTGGCACGAGAGCCTGCTGCCCTTCGCATCTGTCCCCCTGAAGCCACCAGCTGGTGGCCCTTGCTCGGTGTGGCTGGCCCCAGGCAGCTCATGGAATCCCGAGAAGCCACCCTCTGCCGCTGCACCTGGCAAGGGACCTGGTTCCTCGTGGCAGGCCAGGGGGCACTGCGGGCTGGGGCCCACCGCCAGGTGTGAGGGAGGGTACTCGGGGGCCCCGGGGGCTGCATCCCAGTGCCAGCACTCGCCACGGAGCGGGGGCTGCCTGGCAGCCACACAAGAATAATGGCTCTGGTCAGCGGCCTTGGGCCACCTCGCCTGAGGGGGGCCGGTATCCTGGCAGCGGGGCATAGGCAGTTCGTGCCAGCCTCCGCCCCGCGGCCACTCCCTCACGGACTCCCTCAGCTTCCCGGCGGGGCTCTCATCGATGCCCTGGTGCAGGTGCTGGCCCCCGTGGGGAGGCTGCACGAGGTGCACGTCGGCGCTGGACAGGGAGGCCTGCGGCCTGCCCGGGGGACCACCCGCCCTGTCGCTGCAGCCCAGCCAGCCGCAGTCAGGGTGGCCTCCTGTTTCCTTCCCGCTGCTGGGGCGCTGGGGCCTCCGCTGCCGATCGGCTGGGTCCGGCCTCCAATCACCCCGAGGCTGCGTCCGGGTCTGGGCTGCGAAGTGCTGCGTCGTGGCCGCCTCTGCGAACGGGGGGCCCTGCGTCTTCTCATGGCTCCTGGTGGCAGCAAAACTGTCACTGCGCAGCGGAGGTGCAGGCGGGGGTGGCGACGGAGGGGCTTTCTTCTTGTCGGGAACGTGCCAGACAGGCCCAAAACTGGACTTGCCAGAAGCGGTCAGCTTGGGCTCAGCACTGTCCTCCGGCCTGGGGCTTTTACTGCTGTCCCCGAGGGCCCTGGGGGGGACAGTGGAGGGCCTCTCCTCCAGGGCCTGAGGGGACGCCTCCCAGAGCCCAACTCTGTAGAGGATGTTCTCCGCAGAGGAGCCCTCAGCCTTGGGCAGCATGTGGTCCGGGGTGCCGGAGCTGGTAGAGAAGGAGCCATAGGCCGAGTCGCGCTGGCTGGGGCCGCCCAGGTGGTCGATGCTGCTGTTGGACTTGGCCGCCGAAAGGTGTCCAGAGGGGTAGGGCTGGGAGGGCTGGTCCAGGCTGTCCACGCTGCCCAGGGAGCTGAAGTGGTCCGAAGTGCGCTGTAGGTTCGTCTGCTCCCAGGAGCCGGACAGGTCTTGAGAGGAAGAACTACACAAAAGAAAAGCAGCAAAGAACGATTTGCAAACGGCCAGATCAGCGCACAATAGCTGTGTGAACACAGCCGGCCCTCCACAGAGGGTCAGGATGCTGCACTGTACTAAACCTCCTAGGATGAGACCCCAGGGTCTGAGATTTTACCTTGGCACACCTGAATTATAAAGAGAGAAGAGAAACGCAGAGGGGAGAAAGAGAAAGGGAGAGAGAGAGAGGGAGGGACGGAGGGAGGGAGAGAAGCGAGGGGGGAGGGGGA